AGGATCATCAGATTATCAGTGGAGTGCATTGATGAAATCCAGCAGTGGACCGACAGTAAAAGAGCTGCCATTGTAGTACCCTTGCTATCATTCGATTGCCAGAGTTGGAAAACAAGACGGTTTCCCAGTTCATAAATCTGTCACAACAATGATGAAGCATGTGGATGATGTCATTCTCCAAAACAACCAAAGATGTAAACAAAAAGAATGGTTCTGGAGTTATTTCCAGCACATACTTTTATTTAATTGTATCCTCAAACATGTACGTGACATACATACACAACGTGACCGATTTTCCACCGAGGGTGTGCGCTTCTGTCGAGGCGGGCACCTTATTGGTTGACGTGCGCTGCTCTGAAGCGAGTTTCACAGGACCCTCTGATGGTCGTGTTGGTGGGTGGGTGGTGTTGGGAGATTGCTCATCATAATTACGCTCGTGCCGTCTGTCCCAACACACACCGCTTTGCGGTCCACAGAAAATCAGCTTTGGCTGTTCCTGTCGGGTGCGGAGAGGAGGATGCTTGCAAGGGAAACAACAATTTTGGGATTAAAAACGATTTCTCCACAATGCACCGCTTAGCCCAACCAATCATCACCATCATCACTACGTACAGAAAACGGACTAAATGTAACCAAGGTCTAAATATTGAATGACCTCTCCAGGAGACTGTTTTTTTTTAACACAGTCCCTGAGCACCGACCCCGAGGCCCAAAAGGTCAAGCAGCCAGCAACAAACAGCACTCATATCACAGTTGTAACAGATGGGAGGTAAGGCTTGTATGCATTATTACAGCTACAGGTGTAAAAACAATTACATATCATAACATTATTACAAACTTGGCGTAAAAAATGTTTTAATTAAAGATGCAAGCATATTCTTTGAGACTTTCGGTTAAGTCACGTAGATAGGTTGAAAGAAAATAACAAACAAAAAACTATCTACGTGACTTAACCGAAAGTCTCAAAGAATATTAATTCCTGCAGTCACGAAAGCTTTAAGTCAAGAGATGCAAGCATATTTTATACTATGAACTTAAATGCATTCTGAGAACATTATAGGTCCCTGCTCATATCGAGTTATGTGGTGTTCATCTTAATTCAGTGATGGTCCTCAACCAGTGATTCCAACTCCACATTCCGACAGCAGAGGCCTCCACTGACGGCTTTCCGTAAATTGGAACTGAGTTTAATGACCTGAGGGTGGTGATGGGCCACTTTATTCCTCGACTGAAAGACCTCGCGAACGTAATTCACAAGGACAATCGATGCAGTACGCCATGTCTACACACTGTATAGTGAACATGTACATGTAGTGACAGCCAAAGTCACGTCTCTATTTTTTTAATTCATGTCAAATAAAGTAAAATAGAGGAAAGTGACATTCATTTTAAAACAAGTAACCGCAATGGTGTGTACACATGTATTGTGTAATGTTGTCCAACGCGTGTTTGTCTTCGGAAGTGATTGGTGAGCGGTTCGGAAGCTGTCAAGGCACAGCGACGTGGTTGCGTGAAGTGTAAATTATGTCGTTCTTTGTTGTCCTGGTTTGTCTCAAAAAATGTTGCGCAACCCTTGACCTAGCATAGCCGGTTTCCTAAACAGCAAGTCCCTAAGTATCAACACAACAACGTGATACTCACTTTGAGTTCACTTGTGAGTTCACGGTGGATCTCCTTCGTGGCTCCCACGTGCCTCGCCATCGTCCATCGTACAGTTGTGTGGATGCTGTCTCTAACCTGCGTATGTCCGTTTGCCATGACCGCTTCTATGCACACTTTTCAGTTGTTGTGTTGTCGTAAGCGACCACCCTCCTAAAGCACCTCACGGTATATTCGGCAGGTAGTCCAACACCGATCGGCATAACAACAAAAACTAAAATCTATCGTGGAGAAGTTCACCACCAACTGCTGTGAACCAAGCTCGGATCCGTATCATGACACGGGTCGTGTCACCCTCACCAAGGACACTCCGTGGCACGCAATGGATTGGAAGAAGCGAGTAAATGTTTGTGAACTGGAGCTCAGCGTGCCGTGGGTCCTGACTCACACCCCCCCCCCCCCCCGACTCGTGTTTAGGTGGCACTTCCTGCGGATGGGTAACACGGCAGTAACAAAGGGCAGTAACACGGCAGTAACAAAGGGCACGGCTCTCGCTGATGCGATGCGATGCTGCAATCAGTGGGGCGCATTCGACGATGTGCAAAGCCGCATACGTTTTGTGGTCGGGCGGAAAATTACCGATTCCACCTCCACATATTTCCGTGCTCTCATCACTCATAGCATGACTTCACTGCGCGGTGGATGTTCGCCGTCGCACCACATCCGACCCGGTCTCTGGAGGTATTTCACAATTTGAAATTATATAATCGCCCCAATGTGACCGCGGCGCAACGCAACAGTGGATATCCGAGCGAGTACATGGGTCCCTGTGTGAACTCGTCCACTGGCAGTCTATATGCGTACCTGAGTCGATGGATCTGCACGAGTCTGCATGAGCCTATGGGTCTCTGTGCGTGTCTATTCATGGGTCTGAGTGAACATATGACCACTGCGAGTCGATGCGAGCCTGTGGGTCTCCGTCTGAGCCTGTCCAATGCCAGCGATCTCCGAGGGCACGAGTGGAGTTCACGCAGCAGCGTGAGACCACAACCCCAGACATCGACCTGCAGCTGCGACTCCCATTCAGGCCACGCGAGAGAAGAAAGGCGTCGCGGCACCGTGCCGCACTGCGGCTATGCCATCGTCGCTACGTGTGTGTGTATATACGGCTGTGCTGAGCACCCGAATAGCCTCTTCGCCATCGGTAACACAACCGTGTGTAGGTTTGTAAAGCTTTCCAGCAAACCTTTGCAAAATCCTGATCACCTCTTAGCAACCGGTGGCCAATAACACTAAACAAACATTGCCCCGGTCGTGCCAAACCGCCTCGCTAAATCGCAGCGTTTTAATCTTTCACAGAAGTGGGTACACATTCTCCACAATGACTCATTGTTTACGCAGGTAAAGCGCACGCATAGACTATGATGTCAGGTCGGGATTTTGCACCTGTGTAGAGAAGCTGTTGTCTGCATTTCAAAGAGACACACGTTCAACTTGACACGCCTGCTTGTGGCTGTCATGGACTAGCTCGTCGCTTCTCTCCAGCGGTTCCGGATTCGATTATTTTGCTTCATCGAGATGAGACACTGATACTATGGCAAGTAGAGTTAGATTCCCGGCCTCGGCTGGAATCAGTGGCGAGCGATACCTGAACTGATCATGGGCACATCCCCGCTCAACAACTTGCACCGATCAATGTGGTGAAATATGGTCAGACAACCCCCATGACCGACATGGCTTGCGGAGGCCCTCATCCAGCAGAAGATCGACAAAGGATGATGGAACGATCCTTCCCGTCCGCTGCACACGCGCCCATCTCCGTGTGGGACGCCCCTACAGGAGCATTCCCTCCCTGGGCTTGCCGCTCCATCGGCAGTCTACCGCCGACCATCGGCCCCCCTAGCGACCACGTGTCCTGCCCAAGCCAGTTTACAGTCACAAGTCGCGATGACGTCTTTAATGTGAATGCGTTCTCTAATCCACGAGCTCATCTTGTTTGTATTTTTACACGCTTTCTATGAACTCACTCTTGTCTGTTGTTGTTGTCGTCGTATCCTCAAATCTTGTAACTCAATTTTAACCCACTTCCCAATGTGGTATCGACTGCAGACTTGGTATACTTATGTCATACTGATGACAATACTATATTCTATCATACAAATAATATGTATTTTTAAACATTGTTTTATGTTATGTTTCGGCTTGGGTATAATTGTCCACGCTCAACTGACGTTGGCTGTAAATCACCACGGCCCCTTACGTTATGGCATGCTTTGCGGCCACTTCCTGGAGTCGTGGAGTTCTGCCATTACGAGTACGGTACATTTCATTAAAGCGTGTGTTTAAAAAGTATTTTTAAATATTACTTATTATTCTTTCAGTATGAAGCAAAGCACGCGGCTCTGCATGCTGCGCTTCCCAATGCAACGCATTCTTATCAATAAGAATTGATTCTTACACAGACAAGCCCAATTGTATGCAGTGCGTTTGAGAGTTCATATCAATTACATTGATGCACGGGTGCACCTCTAATTGCTTGAAATGAAGCGCCGTGGACGCTAAAAGGGTTTTCCCCCATGTGGCAATCGTGCCACAAACGGTAATTACATTTTCCAAGTCGCCATTGGCAGCTCGCGAGCAGCTGGCACGGACTTAAATACAGCTGCACAGGGCTTTTAAGTTGGCACTTAACCTTGGTTGGCACATGAACCTGAAATTGCCACAGGGATTTAAATTTGGCACATGGCCGTATGACTGTAACATGGCCTTTAGGTTGGAATGTGGCTTTTGAAGTGAAGAGCGCAGCTTTAAAGGATGGCATTTGTAAGGATTTATGAGTGAGCACAAATCTGTAGATTTTGGCGAGTGTCCAGAAAGAGCCTTTACAATGTTGACCCCACGGTGGCTTTTACATTCAAGACGATCTGCTGCTGTCAACCAATGTGATCAAAACTAAAACTCGGCCAAACCAGGGAATACAACCATTAAAAATGAATGAAAACGAGCCACTTCAATAGTAATATCTTGAACATTCACAAGCAATCACAGCCTGTCTCTATGTGGAAAATATCCAAACCAAATCCTAGGCGATAAAAACAAATGTAGATGTGGGTTCAAGAGTCAAATGTACATTAGCGCCATCATCAACAGCTCTAAAACCCACAGGGGCAACCCACAGAGTTCAAGCGTTCACAGCAGGGACAATCGCGGTCCGTCTGACGCACCATCGGCTACACTTGAGCCGAACGGACGGAAATGAAATACAAAGCTTCTACGTGACTTTACCGAAAGAACTAAGAAGATGAATCCCTGCAGTCACGAAAGCTTTAAATCGAAATTTAAATCGAAATTTAAAGCTAGGGTGGTTCTGTAATAAATGATATGAGCCGAGAACAAGCAACTTTCAAAAATGTTATTTTATTCTAAAGTACCAACAGGAAAGCAATTAGTATTATTTAACGGATTACATAGTTATTGTGTATACACATTTGTTCTTTTTGAGCAAAATATATTTCCACCTCGTTATAAACGTTCACAGTAGACGTTATTCCCGTTAAGCATGTAGCCAAGTTCGTAACGATACCAATGGAAACTGCACGCTTGCATCTTGTGTCGCTTTTAATCCTGTTGCACGTGATAAATCTGGGCCTGCGTTTGACGTGACCGCGATCCATGCCACCACGAGGTTTAAACAGCAAGCTCTTCTCCTACAGGTCTGCAGGTCATGTCAAAGCGAAAGACATCGTCGTTCACGGCAGCAGCCCACCTCTCCAAACCTCCGGACCTCCGCCAGACGCAGATACGGTCAGATGAATGGGACAACCATCTTGAGAACCAGTGGCAGCATCCTCTTCAATTCAGGATGCAGGTAGAAAACAACGCGGCAGATCGCGTTCCAGGAGCCCACTTGGATTGCCCGCCGATGATTTTCATCCCCAGATCCAGAGGAGGACCGCTCGGCACCACCGCGGCAAGTCGCGCCCCCATGACAGCACCGTGGTGAAACCATCCACGTAGCTTACAGACTTCTAATCGTCAAACCAGAGCCAAACCAATGAAGCATTATGTTCAACCTCCAAGTTATTTTCTGCTTTAAAAAAATGTCAGCGTTCGTGTTGCGCATGGTCTTCCGGTGAAGAGTGCAGGGGCTGCTGGCGATCCTCGTTCATTCCAAACCTTGGCAAGCATCCGCCAATGACACGCACACGCACACTCCGTGTGCTCGCTTCGATGTGCACAGCGGTGAGGGTTAACCGAGTGTGCTATGGCTGAGTGTGGGCAGAACCGATGTGTGATGCAAAACGATTGTTAACTACAACGGGTCTACATTATAAAAACACAGCTTGAAAATATTACAAAGCTTTAAAGCAGCAGAATAATTTAAACTAACTAAAAGACCTGCGTGTATTTAGAGATGAAAGTTTAAAGCACATTCTACACACAACTGCCATGTATATCCCTTTGGCTAGTGTTGTAATTCTCACAAACGTGAAAATAATGTGCATACCATGTGGTGGTCATTAAGTAGGGTGTCCATTTCAGCAGAGCAGCATTCGTGAAAAGAAAAATACAAACGACGTTTTAGTGGCCTTGAGAAGGCAGTGGCAATATTCACACGCCCAACGTGACGCGACACCGTGGACTCTATCACCCATGAGAGTAACGCAGAGAGAGATAGACACACACCAGCCACCCTCTGAACAACAGCAACTCTCTCAACAGAAACAGACAATGAATAACAGAAAGAGAATTTCACGTGTTGGCAACTTTTCAACTATCATATAAATATTAAGTTGGTGCTCTTTGTGGTGAATGACATCTCCCAGTAAAATCATCTGGTGTGGTGGTGGTGCTGCTGCTGCTGAGACGGCTCCAGTTTCACCCGACGGGAGATGTGCAGAATGAAGAGAATGTGACGAGCGAGTTCGCGAGCACCCGCAGTCTCGTGCAGAAACCCGAGGGGGCTAAACACCGCCGTTTAAAAAGGGGTTCGTCTAATTATTACAGAGCAGAGAGAGTTCATTCCTTCCCGAGTTCTGTTATTGCCATCAACTAAAAAAACGTTCGGTTGCAAGTCCACCGTGGGGCCCTGCGCTTCGAGAGCAGCAGCGCCCGTTTAAGACGCGCAGTGAAGTTTGTTCTTTCTGAGTTTCGCCATCTTCCTCCGTCAAACTCTGATCTCGTCGTCGTCGTCGTCGAACGTGTAGGACTCCCCGGGCTCGTCGTCCGAGAGCTTGTCGAATGACCCCGACGAGAACTTCCTGCGCTCGTCCTCGCACGCGACGCCGCTCTCCGCCGAGCTGCCCGACGACGCATGGCTGCCGGCCGAGCGCACCGTGTGGCTCGGGGAGGCGTACGGTGCCGGCGTCGCCTTGGCCCCCGCACCCCCGAACACGTCGTCCCTCCGCGGGCTCGCCGCCTCGTACACCACACCGCTGTCGTGGTTCCAGTTGCGCGGCGCCGGCGTGCCGTGGCCGTCGCCCGTCGTCCCGGCCCGGCTTGGGCGACCACGGCCGCCGGCCCCCTCGCCGGCCTCCTCGTCCTCGTCGCGGTCACGGTGGAATTCCCACGTTTTTCTTGGCGCCGGGTCACGCCTCTCCGGCGACGAGGCAGAGGCGGTGCCGTAGCTTCCCTTCACGTCCATGATGCTGAGGATGTCGTCCAGCATGGACGGCCCCAGGTCCAGGTCGAACGCCATGCTGGGGTCGGCGCCGCTCGGCGACGAGAATGGCGCGGCGTCTCCGCCGTAGTTGTCGTAAGACTCGATGTCCGAGCCGCTGCTCCGCTCCGGCTTGGGGTGGCCGTTGGCGACGCGCCCGTCGTCCGCGGGCTTGCCGTTGGCGGCGTGCCCGCCCGCCGCGGCTAACGGGGCTCCGGCGCGGCTCCCGCGGGAGGCGAAGGACCACTCGGCGTCCGCCCGTGGCGCCGACTCGTCAAAGAGACCGGAGTCCGGCGACGAGAACTTGGCCTTGGCGCCGGCGGCGGCGGGCGCCGGCCAGGCGTCGGAGGGGGCGGCGAGGCTGGCGGCAGGCGAGGGGAGCGGCGTAGCGTCGGCCGCGCGGTCCGGGGGCGCCCCGGGCTTGCTCAGGAAGGACGTATCGCCAAACACATCCCCGCCGCGGCCGATGTGCATCGTGTGCCGGAAGTCGCCCAGCGGGCCGCTGATCATGTCGCGGTCGATGCGCGAGTTGCGCTTGGATTGCCTGAACATGGGCATGGCTGCAGTCCGTCCCCCCAGCGAAGGAAGCACCTGCAAGCATAATTGGACAAAGACCGGTGTCAATACAAGGCATAGAATTGTTTTTCGTTTGTTTTATTCAATGTTCGTCGGCGAAAATTATTGCAATTCTCCTTGATGAAAAAAAGGTCTTTTATTGGAACTAATTCACGACTGCACCTCGAATGCAATTCTGGTTGTGTGTGTTTTAATGCCATAGCTGTAACCTACACAGACAATCACGTCAGGTTATTTAACGTACGTAAAATAAACGCATTTTAGCTGGGAAAGAATCAATGATTACCGTGGCAGCCACACACAACGACATTATAATTGCTGGCGCAGCAGACAGATTTCAATTTTTGTTAAATATTGGATACCATCAGCACAAATTACATTCCCAATGGCTAAAAATAATTTATGTCAAGTCACTAAATTAGCCCAAATTTTCCCAAAATTATTATGAACACAGTTAAGTGCAAACGCGTGCAATCTGCCGTCGCCAAATCGTGTCGGCTACGATGCCAAGTTTAAATTTTTTGATGTCGGTAACTTCCTCTTAAACAGTCTCACCTACTAAAAATTAAATAATGCATGAAACACTGGAATGGTACGCTTCACAGTATGCACTTTGCATACCTTGAGGGAAGTTATTTTAATCGTAAAAGAAACACACGCAGCATCGTGTTACGTCACAATCACTGACGATGTTAATCGGTGAATAGGTCCCCTTTATAAGCGGCAGCGACACAAGGGGGTACATTTACCAGTCTGGGATTTCAGCCTTGTTTGTTTTTACAGTCAGTTCACGGTGTAACACTCTCGGCAGTTTCATCCTGCAACATCACCAGTCGGGAACTCACATTTTTAAAAGTGGGACCTTCCCCCGTAAATTATTCTTGAAACAAACAATTTGGGTTTTAAATACCACCGCACTGGAGGCGGTTAAAATGTTGGCATACTTTGCAACCACCCACAAGGGGCTTTCACTTGAAAATAAGTGCCAGGTGACTGTAACAGTGGGTGTTTAGTGTTTATGCAGAAAAATGTGTAGGATCAGATCCAAAAAACAATCCTGTTTCAGTGATAAATCAGAATTATGCAAAGGCACATGGACTTTCGAAATTGTTCACATGGTGCAGCAATTACCATTGGCTCAGTCAATGTGCACAACAAGCTTATGGTTTAACTGGGTCCTGCCTTACTGAATTAATGTAATGGTCTATATCCATTTTTATTGGAAAAATCTAATCTAATTGTGCAAAAAGGATTGTAAATACAATTTGACGAAATGCTTGAGAAGATTTTAATAAAATGCGCCTTCTTAAACACCGTTAAAATTTGCGACAAAAGGAAACCCATATGAAGCGTAAAAAAAAGAGCTTTGTAATTGTCTGTACTGTAAACACATATGTAAGAAACACAGTATCTTTTCCAGTAAAATGCAAAACGTACATATGCATGTTGAACTACTTTCACGCCGTACGTAGCCAACCGTGCTAATCGGAAATGCAAGTGCTGCACCGGCTGCCTGGCATTAGCAGCGGCTTTATGAGCCATAAGCAGCTGGGCCCCGCACGACCTTCTCGGGTGGCCGAAACGCCAACACTCGTTTTGCCATGCCGCTCATCACAGGGAACAAAAACCTGCACACGATTACCTCCGTGCAGTGGAAGTAGACGTGCCAATTAAGGATAATTGGGCCTCTTTCAAAGCTCCGTACGATTATGTCTGTAAACTCCAAAATAGCAATTGCAATCCCTTGGCCAATAGCTGTCAAACAAAAATAGAGGCCAGGTGGTTCCGGGAATCGCAGCAACTCAGCAGATACCGCTCGCTTACTTCCTGTGTTTGAATCCCGGTGCTCAAGTGTAGCGAGTTGATGCCCTAAGCCTGGCCACCAAAGAATGTGTTACACTTAGTTTTGTACTAAACTCAAACTTAGCTCGGAGAATGAAAATAAATATCACGTTGACTGCCATGTAGCAGAGTATGCTAGAAAGTACGAATAGTTCTGTGATATCTGCTTCCACGGATCATTCTCTCACGAGTGGAATGCATTGCGTTACGAGAATTTAGTGGACAATTCATTTCTCAGAACGAAGATTATGGCACAGTGGGAATAACAATTGGGAAGACAATGCTCTGCATGGACCACAGCAATAACTGCAATCCATACATGCAATTGAAGCTGCTTAGTTGGGTGAATGGATTAAGGGAAACTTTTTAAATAACTTGCATTTGAAAAAAAACACATTTTCTTTACAAGATTTCCTTCAAATGAAGCGAATAGCGCCTGCACTACCACAGCACCCCAACGTGACCTCTGCGTGCGTGCACTTGCCACCGGCGTGTTTGTCACCGCACGTCACGGGCTATTCTGAGCTCTTAATCTTCTAAAGCGTAAACTCTCGGAAGCCTTTTGAGGACTTTCAGACTTGAAGAGCAGTGTGGAGTGGTGAAGTAAACGTGGTACGGTAACCCATATAAAGCAGGGTCCGTAAAGGCACACAGGTACCATGGTGTAATGGTTAGTGCCCTGCACCTACAACCCAGAGGCTACCTCACCACCACATGTATCCACTCAGCAGTGTAAATGGGTTCAGAGTCCATCGGCAGGTCGCGTGTGGTGGGATAAGGTGTTAAATAGCGGAAGAGTAGGCCAAATACCATCTATAGTTCGCTTCAGCAGAGGCCCTTTCGCCAGAAGTGGTGCGATCAAAACTGTAGCACTGCACTTTTACCATAGAGATGTCATCCACGCTTAAAACAAAAGTCTAAATGAGACAGCAGTTCGAAGTGGGTCAACAACACGGGCACGCGCGTTGGCAGTGTGAACCATGTTCGCTGTCCCAGCAGAGCCTTGTTCCTCCTGACCCCTCGCCCGCTCTGAGCGAGTCCCCGCGTCGCCGCGCTCCAGTCCCGGCCGTCCGCCCACATCTCCACCACGCTCATCTTCAGCGCTCATCACGCGCCTTAAGGAAATAAGCTGCCGACATTTTAACTACAGTTCAACCCGCCGTTGGAAAACTACGAAGACGATACTTTTGTGGGCACTGTGTAGTCAAGTCTTTTTTGCTGCCTCGCTGTACTACTGCATCAACATGGAGTTCCCTTTCTACAGCTACGGATGGACAAATGACCGATGGAACACACAGGGCTAGTCTTATCGGCGCTAGCATTACGAGCATCCAACACAGGATCAAACGCAGCTAATGTGTGGACACACCAGAATATCTGATTAATGCGAATGGTACTACTGTAAAGAGTTGAAGTGACTTGCATTGAAACAATGAGCAGCTCGTATTTGGAGTGTACTTTGTGAACGTGCAGCATTACCCCCAAAGGCCACCAGCTCAACCCATACCAGATTCTGGAAAGCTTTTTTGTTGGCAGCAAAAAGGACTGCAAGGCAACTGCGTACCCGTTTTAACCCTTATTTGGACTCATCAGCACGGTATAGCCAGCATTGGCTCCTACTGTCATTTGTACCCGAAGGTCTTCTTGTGTTGACCAGCCCCCTCCCCACATTGGGGACAAATTTGAAAAGGCTTAAGAGCAACAACAACTAATTCAAACACTTTCTCGTAGCTCGTTCGGCAATGTGGTACAGTATTTATACAAATGGCATTTATCTGCCTTCTTTGTACTTTGGAGTGTGCATGTTCACAGCTGATTACGCCTCCGCTGGCCAACTGGGGACGAAGGCAATGTGGGAGGAAAAGTGTCAACATGCCGCAGCGAATTGGGGCGCGTCGTCTCTGAGAGCGTTAGCAAAGGCAAAGGATAAAGGTGAAGCCCTGCAATTTCCTGCATGCTTGTTCACGACATTGCTGGCAGAAGGACCTCCACTAGAGGAAGTCTATTAAGTCGATTATTCCACACCGACCAGATGTGTTGGAGGAGGTGAGCGTCGCCACAAGCGAGCAACTCGCTTGGGTGTGCCCATTTATGTTGCTGCTGGGTGGGCAGAGGGGGAGATCGAGCCAGTGACCTCTGGACTGCAAAGTCCGAGCGCGTTCCATCATCATTACCCCACAACACCCACCGGCGGCAGAATACCTTACGGTTCACGTGCACGGGAGAAACAACGTTAAAACAACTCAATATTTGCAATGCCATTTAGAAGCATCCAACCACCCGGCATGTTTGTAGAAAGAATTTTTAGCTGTTTGGCTGAAGCATGAAAAAGAACACATTCCACTCACTTTGCTTTCAAAGTTACGGCCAGAATCTGGCAGTCAGCAACTCTGGATTCAACAGCTGTAGCATAAACTGTGAGCAAAAATGAGCAATGGTAAGTGAGTAATGGCCGTAACAATGAGCAATCTGAGCGTTACTGTTAGTTGCTAAGAGGTAAAAAGTCGAAAACCATGATGACCGAAAGCATCCTAATGATGAACGACATCTTCAATGGATTTGTCGTTGAATTTCCCCAAACAAAGGGCCACTGTCCAAAATGTGAAATGACTATCATATGAAGTGACATTTTGGCCAATGAACCTTCATAATATGAACCTTCAGAATCAATATTAAACCGCATGTTCGATGCATCCCTTTTGTAAATGGATGCAATATCGGTTCGAGTAATTTCCATTGACAGTGGATGTCAAGTGTTTTCAGCCTGTAAAGTGACAAATTTGTAGACACTTAAAAATGGCACAAACCTGTCCAACAGCGGAAAAGGAAGGGGAAGACCGCATTGCTAAATCCTGCACATAGACTACAATGTGCGCTCGTGTCCTCTTGTGTATTCACTGCATTGGAAATAGTTGGGCGAGTAGCACAAAGTAGAACGCATCATCACAGACAGAGGACATGGCCTCCCCCGAGAAATAGAGCATTGTTCTTGACCTCAACAATGGTAAGGTGCCCAACGAAGTGTGGCCATCAGTGTTACACGGAATACAATGCAATGAAATCCACACGCACCATTGCGTGTACGTGTCTCCTTACACGATGAGCTCTACACAACGCATCAATCCTGTGTTTAACCCGACGAGAATCCAATTATTGGACGTCGAATATCTTTCAGGAGCATGAGCAGGAAACAAAAACACAATTGCATTGGAATAAAATCGAGTGGCATAATTAAAAAAATGTGCTTAATACAGAACGTGTAATACAGCATTGGCAATGTTGGCACTAGCTAATTTGATTTATTATTTTTTAATATTTTCTTATTTGACCATGTAAGGCCTCCTGAGCTGTATAGCTCTTTGTCAGAATCGACCTGGCCACAAATGACAGCTCAACAAAGTGGCTTATCACGTGGATATTTATAGCAGCAGCCAAAGACTCTTCGACTAATGGTAAAGTGTAGCGATTCTTTTTCCACTTATAACCAATCTTGACTTAAAGCTTTCGTGACTGCAGGAATTAATATTCTTGGGTCTTTCGGGAAAGTCATGTAGAGAGGTTCAAAGAAAATAATTTTAAAAAATAACGAAACACTACGACGTTTCGATCGCAACACAAGCGTTCGCCATCAGGAAGAACGCTTGTGTTGCGATCGAAACGTCGTAGTTTTTTGTTATTTACTTTAAACCGATCTACGCGACTTTGCCGAAAGACCCAAGAATATGAATATATAACAAATCTCTTGCAAAGGACAGATGTGTACTAGTAATGTTGTAATACCCATTAATTATCAACCAGGCGAAAGCCTCACCGAGCCTCAGGAAATGTTTCACGAAGCTCCTACCTACAATCGGATTTAGGCCAATTTCATGATTGAGTGTTTGGCTTAGCAAGAGGAAACCTGAAAAACTGAGTACCAGAGAAGACTAATATATGAGACACACTGCACCATTACATGGCCATCTCATAGCCCCAAGCCTATCACACCTGGAAAGCCCCTGATGGTCACCCATCCAAAGTACAAACCAGGCTTAAACTTGCTTAGCTTACATGATCGGATAAGATTTGGCGCCTTGAGGGTGATTTGGTGGTGGCCGTGAGGTGTGCGATGAAGTGAAACGAGAAACTACTGTAGCGAGTGTGCAAGCAGCAAGCAGACAAGACAACGTCGTGTAATAAGAAGGCCATGTGATGACTCAAAGGTGCAATCATTGTTAAATAATCAGCTCATGGAGTCAACAACAGCTCGATGGATAACACAATGCGCCACACTGTTCCAAAAGGACTGTGCCGGTTAGTGGTGCTTCTGCATGACATGGAATATACAGAGCACCACCACCGTGATCGATTCAAATGATCAATTACCCAATACACAGGAACGCCCGTCTGTCTGGCCACCACGACTGCCGCAAAGGGCACCGATTAATGGGCATGGAACGTCTGTTTGGCAGTGACATCATCATGCCTTCTGCTGGTCTCAACAATGGGACTTATCAACGAAACCACAAGCCGCGCTCCACAGAGGGCGCTGTCCGCTCAGAGTTGTTCGACCAGCTCGATGCGTCTCTGGGCACGCCCCTGGTCTCTGTGCCGCCGCGTTTCCTGTTGCTCAACCCTCATCCTCATCGTGGCTGGAGGAGTCTGGCTTTCGAACTGCGGAACAAACGCCTTGGCTAATTAACGAGCACACTGCTGGGTCACGTGACGCCTTCCTCATTAACCAGCGAGACGGATCATCGCACACCATTAATTAGAATGTTGGGGATGGGTTTTTTTTCGATGTTCAGCAAGAATCAAAAGAGCACCACTGTAATTACCAAGCTTGTTAGCGTGCTCACGCATCCGAACGTATTACAATCCGCTTCACACGTTAGATAGGGGGCTGCGGATTTAATTGGAGACGACAGTGCGTCTGCAATTGTGAGATCACAGTTGCTCGTTTTGTTTTTAGTGGTGAAAACAATGGAAGACTCGGCTCTTAGAGTCACGTCCCACACATTCTCTTTGCTTAACCACGTGATCTCCTTTGCAGGCAAATAAATCCCCGATCGAAATCTCTAGAGTAACTTACATGGCTGTCCCCACTTTGCTCAGCATGGATTTCTACATCTGACGAACAGCACATTCCGCATCGCGAACACAAAGCACCCTAAATGTTCTCCAGCGCACTCTGATAATGCCCCCAGCGACCGCGTAGCATGGCAGAACAACAACACATGGCAAGCAAGCTCCCGCCCGCCACATGGCGGCTTCTGGCCTCCAGGGCACACAGATATTTGATCCATATGGCCGACTTTGATAGTGGCAACTGACCAGTGTGGCGAACGATGATTAAACAACTGGCATCAGTGCGAAGAGGCCGTCATACAGCAGCCGAGTGACAAAATGATGTGTGGCATTAAATTATTATATTTTGTATAAGGTTGAAAACCCACAACTTGGAATCTGGCTCTCGAAGATCACCACCTCCCAACAGATGCATGTGCCACCACATAAGACAACATCACCATCCGGGTCCTTGCAGAGAATACCATGCAAATAATACGATAAGCAGACAATTCGTCTCACTTCATAAATCTCTCTCCACGTAAAAAAATATATGTTAAATGTACACATCTCATCAGTCACACGGCCGAATGGGAGTACATACATTCTTCAGCATTTGCTTCAACAAGCAAAGTTGTGCACTGGTTTCCACCCTCAAGTGTCTCATCAGCAGTGTCGGCCTGCTCTGGCTATGGTCCATGAGCCATGCAGGGAGGGCACAGTCCACGTGCACACCTGGCACAGAGGTTAGCCTCACCCTGGTACAGTGCAGCAGCAGTGTTTACTATCCAACGTCTCGTCCACTTTACAATCCACACACCCGAAACTCTCAACTGCACAGAACTGCACGATATCATTGTCATCTTCTCGTCGTGAGCTCACAATACACGGCAGCACTTACACAAATAGAAAACAGCTCTTCGCGGGACATTCCTCACTTCTCCAATGCGGTTATTTCCAAGTTAACCCACTCCAGATCTACTCGCCGTGGTGGTGAGCGCACTGCGCTACGAGAACCTGGTCCCGGCCACGGCTAACATCAGTGGCGAGTGAAACCTGAGCCAGCCCTGCCCCCCACACACACCAGCAGCACCCCTTCCCTCTACCCGCACTAACCAGAGCGGTGAAGTATGGTCAAGCGACACCCCCCCCCCCCCCCGCCTGCCATCAGAGTGCAGTGTTTGAACCTTTCCTTGGAAATCGCCCTTCCAGAGGTCGACTGTCTTCAAAAGAACGACTTCTTGTTGAGGAATGTGTGACGAGTAGCACTGTGGCCACAGACATCGCCATGCACGAACATCACGGGGCCCCCATCGCCGTTGCCTTGCCGTGTTGGGGTTGTGGGTGATGTTGTCGTGGTTGTTGTTGTTCACTCTAGAGCCACCCTAATCGAGCCCGCGATCAGCAGCAACAACTCGCCGGCGTGTGCCGTGTGGTCTGGGCACATCAACCAGCGCGGCCCTTGGTCAGTCCACTGCTGGATGAGGGACTCCCCACTCCGTTTCATGTGGGGGGGGTGGTGTTTGACCATACTTCAACCTCTGGTCAGTGTTGAATACCGAACCGCTGGTTGGTGGCGAAGGGAGACGAAGCTTGTTCAGATAGCACTTTACACGGATGTTAGCCGTGTCCCAGAATCGAGCTCGAGGGACGAAAGGTTCCTCGCGCAGTGCGCCAACCACTGCGCCACCGCTCCCCAAAAACTTTGGAATCCCGCAACCAACACGTCTCTCTCTCTCTAACAACAACTCGACACTTCGGTGTTCGACAACAACGCTGACCACGGCGACCATCGGGCCATTTGCCCGAAACGTCGATTGCTTTCGTTGTGAAAGAGCCACACGGTGTTTTAAGATCGCCCAAGTCGCGTCGCACGCAGTCAGCGCGGTCCGTGCGTGGACAGCGGCAGCGGCAGCGGCGACTCGCGCGTTAACGCGGGGCAGCTCGGGGGCAGCACGGGGGGGGGGCAGCACGGGGGGGCAGCTCGGGGGCAGCACGGGGGGGGGCAGCACGGGGGCAGCACGGGGGGGGCAGCACGGAGGGGGGCAGCACGGGGGGGGGCAGCACGGGGGGGGGCAGCACGGGGGGGGGCAGCACGGAGGGGGGCAGCACGGGGGGGGGGCAGCCCGCACCAGCCGTGCGCGTGTAACGAACACGGCGAACGAACTAAAATAAACTCTTCACACACAAAACAAACCTCACCTTGGTTTTAACGCGCTAGCGGACGGCGCGTTGCATAGGCTGCTCTCCCCCCGTCCTCCCTTCCAAAAGAGGCGCCACAAAACAACCTTCCCCACCGTCGTCGTCGTCAGGGCAGCGGGATCGCCGAGTCGAGGAGCCGCAGGGAAGTTAAAGAGTCGCGGATTAGAGGGTGCGAGGCGGGCAGGTCGGCGTGGAGGCGGTAGTCCCGAGATGCTCGCACGGTGGCGTCGGCCCGGCGAGTGCCGCACGCGGGCCGCGCCTCCCCGATACGCGGGGCCAACGCCACGCCCCCCGGGCCTCGCCGACCAATCGTCGAGCGAGGCCCACGTCCGCGCGCGCGCCCCGCAACCAATGGCATCGCGAGCCGCCGCAAAGGGGGGCGGGGCCGAGCCGGGGTGTGGGCGTGGTTTGGAGTTTTGCGCCGCCCAATCCTGGCGGCGCTGGGTGGCGGGGCCATTCCGTTTAAATGCGTCACGAGATGCCAAATGGAGTGTGGGAGCAGGACCAAATGTTTGACTTGTTGATACCCCACCTGAGATGGCAAAACGCGAGTTGCACCAACGTGTTTGAATCGAAATAATATGAGTTAATTAGTATGCTATCACATTATCCACCTTGAGTTGTAATATACAGAAACTGGTAATCCTAAATGTCTGCCCGCATAATCCTAAATATCTACCGAATTATCCTCTGGCCCATCGACTAAAATTCAGTTCACATAAAATAAGGACACTGTACATTACTAACAAAGCTCAAAGTTATTTCCTACTCATATTAGCATTTAGGCGGTGCTCAACTGCGTATAGCCCGAAGTACTGCTGGAAAGTCCACATTCTTATGTCGGGTGCAAGTATATACAGAGGACATCCACTATTGACTTTCCCAAAAAAACAGTAGTTTATCGACCCCAGAGGGATTATGGGGATAAGTCAACCTTCAACCAGTAGTTAAACTCCAAACTTTCCACATGTTAGCCGCTCTGCTGCCAAGCCACGTAGCCTGTTAACACTTAAGACTTACAACATAAATGGGTCAATACAGCAATATGTATTGCGTATTTTCCAATTCAATTGCAATTATGACTGCCAACATTTAATCGTTGATGTTATATTTCACTTACGGTGGAGGTTTTGTAATTCATGTTTGCTAGCAATGTACCAGTGAATGTCTGGTTCATTGCCATTTTTTACGACTGTCAACCCTTAAATAAAAGTTTGATTAAAAACAACATAAAACAGTATTAATACAGGGTTGTGTGGAAGGCAGTGCAGCCAAATCGCCCGTTGTATTTCGATGTCTCACATCTACGTTCCTCGCGTTCACCAACCCACACACAAACCAGCATGGTGAACTAAATAACTCGTACGACGTGGGGAAGCCTTCATCCGGCAGTGGATTGACGAAGGGGGGTGTGGACATGCGTGAGAGCCAGGACTGTGGGAGGCCTCACAGTCCACGACGCGTTTGTCTTCACGAGTCGTGTATCGTGATGAGGAGTCGGTCTGTGATCTTCCAGTGCGGATTGAGACCCAGCAGCACAATAGAGATCGCGCGGGTTTGTGTATTGCGGTGGAGGCGCTCGCGGCGTGTGTGTATTCTGAGAGCTTTAATTAGCGTCTCTAAATTGCACAACAATGCACGCGGAACAACTTACGCGAGCCAAGCCCGCAAGTGGCTCACACGGCATCAGCATTACTCATCGCTGACCGTGAAATGGAGTCATCATCCGTCTTGCACTGCTCTGCTTTTGGCAAGACGAGGCTCAATTCGGAATGGGGGGAAAACAACCCCGGGGGAGAGGAACAGACTGGGATGAATTGTTGCAGTTTCCGGACACTCCAGCCTCGGGGCTGATTCACCCACATGGAGTGTTCCAGGCTCCGTTATTATCACCGGTTACAGTGATGTGCCACATCTGCGTCATACGAGCAGCGGCAACTGTGTGTGTCATGAGGGTGCAGACACCTCAACAACAACAAAATCCTGGTATTTCTGAGTCCACATTGCTATCCCTTCAACCAGGCGACATAAGTGCTGATTAAGCTGATACTGTTGATGACGGAACCTATAAACACATCCGCACACCAACAATAAGCTCAGTACTGAGTCGCCAGCAGTTGTGTAAATGTAAGATTATTATGGAGCAGTAAAATTCATCTTATCCGTGACAAAGTGGTGCGGCTGTGAACTTCCCGTATCCTGTCTGGTAATCTGCTCAGTACCCACCAATGAGAACCACCCAGCGTTGCCCTTGGGTGCCCCACCAGGGCCTATCGCACAACGAGAGGGAGACGTACGAGGGCTGGCGAGGGAGAGAGTGGGGAGAACCGGTCGAAGTGGACGTTCGTCACGAGTGGGGTCGCACACGGCGTGGACGCGACGTAACCGCAGTGGTCGTGATTCCTGTGGGCCAACACACGTCATGGACGTCATTGCTAGGGCAGCACAGGTTGACATCGTCATACTAGAATTGAATGGTCCACACGAGAACAAAAATCGCTCATGTGTCCGGGTCTCGCTCGTAAAAAAATATATTCCCTGAAGACATTTCTCTTGGGTTAAATAAATAAACGTAATATTCAATGGACTGTACAGTATAATGAAATGAACAGTATTTCTACACTCAAGGCACCAGAAAAAAAAAACAGTGTAGAAAATGTATATAAACTTTACTGAAACTATTCCTCAAGCTATCGGCGATATATCCAAATGATTGTCATTTTTCGTTTAATTATTATTGATGTTTAATGAACGCATAACATCGTCATTTCTGCAGTAAACATAACAAAAATACAATTTACAGTCCTTCGTCAATCCACTGCTGGATGAGGGCCCTCCTTACATCATATTTCTCATGCAGGTTGTTTGGCCATACTTCACCATGCTGCTCAGTGCAAATTGGTGAAGGGGAGGGGGGGCCCAGGACCGGGCGAGATAGCACTCGCCACTGATGTGAGCCACAGCCGGAGGTCGAGCACGGGTCTCCGGGTTCGAAGCGTTGGACACAAACCACTGAGCCCACGAATGTTAATGGCCACGCAGAGTGCACGAGAATGTGGCCGAGCTGGAGAGAAAAGGACGACTACTGATGATGTAAGTTTGGGTGCCGAGAGAACCAGTGACTCATATTTCCCTCTGCCAAGACCAATGATGAATTGCCCAAGTATTCAGAAAACGCTTTCTAGAGCATTTGTAGCTTTAAACGTGCAATAATTCACATTCTAACCGATGCGTTAACTGAAGATTTAAACTCTGTTTTTATACTACCCCTTTCATGAAAACAATTATACTTTATTCCTGTTGTTTTATATAATTGTGAAGAAGACTTTTGGTATACTCTTTGGTTCTTTCGGTAAAGTCACGTAGATAGAAAAATTAAATAAAACAAAAAATAATATATCACGACGTTTCGATCGCAACACAAGCGGTCGTCCTCAGCTCTCTCGCTGGTCCTGCAGCAGTTCCACTGCTGGACCAGCGAGAGAGCTGTCAATTATCCAGCAGCTCCACTGCTGGACCAGCGAGAGAGCTGTCAATTATCCAGCAGCTCCACTGCTGGATTGTTTTTTCAGCCTGAGGACGACCGCTTGTGTTGCAATCGAAACGTCGTGATATATTATTTTTTGTTTCATTAGATTTTTTTACCTACGTGACTTTACCGAAAGAACTAAAGAGTATGGATTCCTGCAGTCACGAAAGCTTCAAATCACTTTTGGTATAACCAACTCTCAACCCGGCGAGAGACCTTAGTGGTACAGCGAGCGTCTCGTATGCGGAAAGTTTCCAGTTACAATTCTGGTTGGGGTAGGTTCACTCAGCCCATCATCCCTCCAGAGTCTATAAATTGAGTAACACTTTGTGAGGGAATCAACAACTCGATCCTGCCATAAGAATGAGGAATGTCTACCACTGGATCGGAGCTGTCAACGGGAGATGTTCATTTGAGCAGGAAATCACACTTTGACTTTTAACAGTCTAATGTCTAGTCTTGAAAAATGCTGGTTTTCCAGTTATTCGTCTGCAATAAGAGCTGCCCAACAGCCCCATCCCTCCCCACCCCTCCCTTCCTGTCCACCGCCCCCCCATCCCATCCCGGCTGCCACCATTCCCAACCCCCATACACCACACTCCCGTGCACATTAAGTATTTATCCCTGAGCCGGGCTGCCTAAATCAGCATTAACACGTTCCAGCCTTCCTCTTCTTCACGGGATATCAGTGTCTTTGTTTGTTTGACGTGGGTGTACATACATATTTTGTCAAATCCGCTGCTGGATGAAGGGCCCTACTTACCACCATGTTGCTCATGGAGGCTGTTTGACCATACTTCACCATGCTGGTCAGTGCAGGTTAGTGAAAGGGAGGGGGGTGTCCACGCCCTCCCACCCGTCCCCCACGCTTATTTTGGGGGTCGTGATGTGGGCGCCACACTTGACCACGCTGGTCACGACGGGTTGGTCAAGGAGTGGAGATGTACAGGACAACAATGGATTTCTCTGCAATGCCCTTTGATGAAAATGTAGCCCCGGAGCTGCCTCTAACGTAAACTCTCGGGTCCGTACGCAAAACAATGTGGGCGTCGTGTTAATGCACAGCACTGCATGTAATTAGGACGCATATCTAATTTGCCGATAAACATCTGCCAGTTCATCAGCATTGGTTCAAGCAAGCCTGAATGCTGATGAGACACTGAATGTTAAAACCTGCCCAGAGTTTGACTTATATAATCTCGGTTCTTTTGGTAAAGTCACAGAGATAGAAAAATAAAAATAAAGTGAATTAAAATAATATATTTTTTCTTATTTTTATTTGTATTATCTTTATTCACTTTCTTTTTATTATTACTTTTCTGTCTATCTACGCGACTTTACCGAATGAACCTAAGAATATGAATTCCTGCAGCCACGAAAGTTTTAAGTCAGTTTTACTTACGTTGAACCAATTCTGCCGAAATGATGCACTCCGAGAGAAGGCATGTGGTTGATGGGATGTGTAAACTCACTTCTATTATTTACGCATAGAGACAGATGTGTGTGGCGGGCGCGCAATGTTTGCTTACTTTGTATAAAACCAGCAAATCGTTACTCAGCCCGTTAGGCTCCACAGGACAACGCTTGCGGCTTGGAGGTGGAAAATCCCGAAGCAGATTGACCCCTTCTCGTGCGGGCGGCCCGGTGCGCCGTGACGCGCGGGCTCCCCGCGGCGGCGCACCGCCGCTGGCTCGCGAGCCGCCGAGTTCCGTCGCGATGAGC